CATATCATTCATCAGATTCCATGGTATTAAAGAGACCTGTGCTTCAAAAAGATGCACATTTTCTCCTCAGACTCTGATGGGGCAGCAGCTATGGCTCACACTGAGGTGAGCATAGCCATGGCCAAGAAAGACAAACCCTACACAGATGCTGTGCAGGTGTTTCGGGACCTGGCCAATCACCTGCACATCCAACTCTATCAGGATCAAGTGGCCTGGAGTTCTGGTCACCCACACCATGCAGCAGTGCTGCTGAGATCACATCTGTGCTGTTCTACCACATCATGAAATAGAAACAGGAAGACCGAAAGAACCCAAAAATGATCAATTTATCCTTTGCTAGCTACTCCCATTTGTTGATGTGGCAATTTGGCTGGTAAGGACCAGTACTGGGGACTGTGTGCAGCATGGTATATACTGGCAGGTACTTTGACAATGCCAGCTATGGGTAGTTCTGTCTCTTGGGAGATGTTGAGTCTTGGGAAAACTCTGTCTGAAAGGCACTACAATCTGGATGATCTCATGGCCATCTTCCACAGTGGCATCTTTCCCGTCAAGAACTGCATGGACATCCATCAGAAACGTTGTGAAGCCTTTGGATGGAATACTTAGGTAATGGCTGGCCCTGATGTTGTGGTGTTCTTACAAGCAACTCAAGTGAAGAGCAAGCTCCCTGCTGTAATTGCCAAGACCTTCAAGGGCAGGGCATTCCAAGCCTTGAGGATGCAGAAAATTGGCATGGAAAGCCAATGCCAACAGAAAGAGCAGATGCAATTATCAAATTAATTGAGAGCCAGATAGAGACCCACAGACAGCTTGAACCAAAGTCCCCTATTGAAGACTCATCTAAAATCAACATCACAGACATAGAGATGACCACTCTGTCTGCTTGAAAGTCGGTGACAAGGTAGCTACTCACAAAGCATATGGTTTGGCTCTGGCTAAGGTGGGCCATGCAAATGATAGATTCCTTGTGCTGGACAGTGACACCAAGAAGTCCACCTTCTCCAAGATATTTAAGAAAGAGCACCAGGAGCACCTCATTGAATGTTTTATTGCCAAGCAAAAAAAATGGTTAACGTGGTGAAGCACCTTCACTGCCTTTTTAACCCGAATATTTGATCAGGTCTGGCTTGGTACCATCTCTCAAACCAACATCAACCTGATTGGGTCCCTTATAACACTGCAAGCTATCCATTAGTGATGGTCCTGGAGGATTTGGTTATGTTCTGTGCAGTTCCCAACTGCACCATTTTCTATCAAGTGATGCAGTCTGATAGAGCATGCTGTGGTCCTGGTGGCCAATACCATGGGGATATGCTACATTCACACCAATGGTCCCAAAACTGAGGTTATTTACACCCCACAAGAAAGTTTTGAGATTTGACAGCCAAGTCATTAGCCAGAGTGTCAACAATAAGGTCAGTAATTGGAGCTGCAGTTACTCTGCATAAAGTCTTAGCAATTGTTGATGATCTTTCTAAACAAAATATCAGTTGACCTGTTTACCATTAAGCCCCTGGATGCTGACATCATCATGTCTAATGCAAAATGCACAGATGGCCAAATTATCACAATAGGGAATCACCACCCAGAAGGTGGCATTAGGGAGGCTGTCGGTACAACTGCTTCAATGGAGCCTGACATTCTGGTCCATGGGTTGGCAGTACAAGGAGTTCCTCAAAGTGAGAAGTCTAGTGAACTTCTGGATATGTTTGGAATTAGTGCCAAACACATTATAGTGGCCATGAAATGTATGTTAACAAACTAATACTGTTGACATCTCTACATTTATGCCTGTTAAACCATCATTTAAATCTATAATGTGTGTTCTTTGTTGTTCTTGAAAGCAAAGCAAGCTAACTACCTTCCAGTTATACATATACAAGTATAACTCACATCTTTAGGTAATTAAAGAAGGTTACAAGATTTTTAAGTGACAGAAGAGCTAATGAAACAACCACATAAAGTTTTATGATGAGACTATGGGTTGGGGATATCTGGGCTGGGGATCAACATAGGGTTGCAGTTTCTTAAATGTGTGCATTTTCCTCCTAAGTAAAGAAGATGTGAACTGTAGATTGCAACTGCCTGGGTTATGCAGCACTATAGCATCATGCTGTATACACTGTTGTCCCAGGTTAAGAATTGATGTGCTGCCATCCTGCCTGCAGCTTCCCAGGTACCATGTAACTGCAGATGCCCTGGAATTTTATCTTCCCTCTAATGGTGTGTGTAGCAGCAGTGAAAGCTCTTAGATTGTCCTCTGCTGCTTGAGGTAACTAGTTTGAAGAGAAGATACAACTAGTTCTAGTCTCCACACTGCACTCTTTTGTGAGGTCTCAATGTCTCATTTGCCTGGTGACCAGATCAAACTGTTAGCTCACTTATATTCATCAACTAGTTAAATTTACTGAAACATTTAAAAAGAAAAAAAATTCCAATGTAGAGTATTCCACTAGGACTGTGGTTGGCAAACTGCGGCTCGCGAGCCACATGCAGCTCTTTGGCCCGTTGAGTGTGGCTCTTCCACAAAATAGCACAGCCTGGGCATTAGAAGTGGCATTAGAAGAAGTTTAAATTTAAAAAACTTGGCTCTCAAAAGAAATTTCAATCGTTGTACTGTTGATATTTGGCTCTGTTGACTAATGAGTTTGCCGAACACTGCACTAAGAGAACCACAAGCAAGGCCATACCATATCTAGTAAAGATCTATACACCATTCGAATAGGCGTTCTTACAGACTAATAGACCTTGGTTGAGATAGAACATCTGACCATGGGATATAAAGTCACTTTGCAGCCAGAGATAACCATTATGAGCTGGGTTCTGTCAGACCCAGCAAGTCACAAGTTGAGTGGGCTCAGTGGCAATCCATCACAAAATGGAAGTTGACAGATAGAAGACTGGCTATGAGTTGGACCAATGGACACAATAAAGTTGTATCAGCTGATGGCCTAGATCCCCATGTCATCTTGCCACTATTGTGCTGGTGTTTACAACCGTGTGTGATCTGCCTAGACAGAGTGTTTGCTAGTCGAAGCTGAGGCAAATTTACAACTGGTGGTGGAGAAGGGTACAAAGTACCAATTACTTCAAGTTTGAGATCCACTGCAGCTGCAGCAAACGTAGTTTTCCCATTAACTGTTTCTCAGCAATAAAGACCAACCAGAGTCCCGGAGTTGCTGGTTACTAGATGGCAGGACTTAGAAGCAAGTGGATCTGAGCACCACAAGGGCTGCACTATAACAGATATTCTGATGCTCCACGTATGCATAGCTCCTGGTCAGGGCCAGGGCCAAGGCGCCCATCCTCCAGCTGCTGCTACTTTCTAGTAAGACCTTTTATAGCCTTACCACAGATATAAACTGAGTTAAATCCTCAACCCACAACTAGAATGAACCTTAATAATTTGCTAAACCTTAAAATTAACACCTTAAGTTGAACTAAAAAAAGTGAGAATCTTAGGCACCTAGTTCAAATTGGAATCAAACCAAGCCATAACATCGAGTTTTCTCAGATCTAAACCCAAACCGAGTGCCAGACACTTTGCACATATAGCCCTGCGGACTCTCTGGAGTTAGCAGCTCTTGCTAATTAGAAGCGCCTGACTGTACCCCAGCAGTTTAGCAGATAAATGCCTTCCAAAGTGTGCTCCCACCTGAGGAGAGGGAAACTGGCTAGAATTTTAAAGATTTTAACTTGTACTCAGTTATCTATTTGGTTCATATGGGGAAGAAAAGATTAGTTATTTTTCAAAAATTAATTCCATACCCACCTAGCATCATACCCTTCAAGTCACATCATAAAAATAAGTGACACCTGGCTATGGTTAATTGCAAAGCAAATCTTAGTTCTCACCTAATTCTCTAAATATAGGGAGTGAAATCTTAACCTCATTAACAATGAGATTGCCTCACAACTCAGACAATCCTTGGGCTTCTCATCCAAGAGGATGGGGGAGAGGGTTAAACAACAACAGTATTCATGTGAAATTTTATTCTTAGAAGCTTTGTATTGTTGCTCATACAAGAGATACAGGTCTGGGTTTAAGCACCATGAGGGCAGGAGCCATGCATCTTTATATTCAGTACATCACTTAGCATAGTTGCCTGGCACTCAGCCTATGATCAGTAAATAGTGACTGGATGAATGAATGAGGCTGCAGAGGCCCACAAACCAGCCTGCTTGTTGGCACCCTTTGAGGGGACTTTGGCCAGGACATTTTGAAAATGTAGCTCAACCAAGCAAGAATGGGCTCTTTTCAAGCTCTATTCTATCAGGATTGCTGCCACTTTGTTCACACTTGGCATTGAAATCTGGCTGTGCTGTCAGCCACATTCACTTAAGTTAGCAGTACCTGAAATAGCTGTTCTTAGGACTTTAAAATGGTAGCAAAAAGAACCATTTTCAACGGAATGAACCTACACTATAGGATGATTTTTAGAGTTTATTAAACAGCATGAGCCTGAATACATATAAGAGAGAGGAAGAAAGAGAGGGTAGGGGAAAGGTAGAGGGAAAGGGAGGGAGCAAGGAAGAGAGAGAGAGAGAGAGAGAGAGAGAGAGAGAGAGAGAGAGAGAGAGAGAATATGAATGAATCAGATTTTCTGGGTAATTTTGGGTTTTACACAGAGAGCCAGTAACTGGAAGTTGCTAGCTAAATTGTTAATGGCAGCTCTATTGTGAAATAAGTGGATTTCAGCTTCTGAGGTTCTGAGAACTGCCATGGTCCGGTTCTCCCTGAGGAAGGTTTGGTTGTCCAACTCTTTCTTGGGTTCCATAAGCTACCCGAGTATCTGTCCAGCAATTTTAGTTTTACTTAAATGTTACCCTATTGGTTTCTGTTATTTGCCAAGAGAAGGAAAGCATTTTAGAGGAACCAGTGTATCAAAGTTGGTTGCTGGAAGAATGGTGGTGTCACTGAAGAAGTGGTGAGGTGGGGAAGGAAAGCTGAATGGAGAGCTGGGGTGAAGGCTCTAAAAACAACCACCTTTCTACAGAGTCCCTTATGGACCAGAGGTTGCCAGCTGTTGACTGGAGCTCAGCAGAGGGCCACCAGCGGCCACATTGAGTAAGATTGGTTTTTAAATATTCATTTCAAAAGCTGAATGTTTTCTCTTTGCCCTCTTCTTTGCTTGGGAAATCTCCCCTACAGTTCTAGCTCCAACCACTTGTTTTGAATCTCTCTCCCTCAGCTTTTCTTTATCCTCCAAGGTGCCAACTAACTACCAACAAAAGGGCTACTTGCTCTTCTCTTTGATTTTAAGATATTTCTCTGAATTATTAGCCTTTTTATTGAGCCCAAGGAAGAAACTCAAACAGTGAGTAATCCTTGCCCCCTTTTTTTCTCTTCCCAAGTATTTCATTGTGAGAATGTGGAAAGCAAATCCTGCCTCTGCTTCAAGCTGTCTATTTAGATGAATTTAAGGAAGAAAAGGCTAACCTAGGAAAAGGAAGAGCTGTGAGTTTAAGAAAACTACACCAAATTTATGAGGGAGGAGGGAAGGAAAAGAGGAATTTAGACCATTTATTTGTAACAGGTCTTACTGACAGTTAAATACAGTGGTTTGCTCTGTTCTGCCACTTGAGGGTTATTTAATTAAATTCATGCCTAGGATGCTAACCAGCTCCACATCTAAAATAATTGCTCTCTGTTTGGTGAGATGTAAAGCCAGGGTTGATTTTACCCGGGGCAATAGCTCTTTTTTGCGTCACAAATGTCATCTCCACTCTCCTCTCCACGTAATCTGATCTCTGTATTTAATCGCTATTTGGTAGTATACTTCGATAAACAGATGTCTCAGTAATTAAAATCCCATATGGGCAGACTCATCGGTGAGTTACATCTACTTAATAGTCAGCTTAGAACATTTCCCACCCTTGGCTCTTCTCTTGTCCTGGTGTCATGTGTCACTGGACTTTAGCAGGATTTAAATATTAGAATGCACACTTATGTTTGTTTTCCTCCAACTCTCTTTTCCTTTTCTGACTACATTTTCTTCACAAAGCCCTGATCTCTTTCTCCTTTAACTCACCTGGATTTTCTATACAGTTTCCCACCAGCATTCAAATTCTCATTGGATGAATCATCCTATTTTTCATTCATGCCAGCATCCGCAATAATAAAAATAATAAAAAATCAGAACAGTAATGTTAGAACCATGGATTGAGAGTGCCTTTTATTTTTTTCCCTCTGAGGCATAACCAAATATTTTAATCTGAATGGTCCCCAATTTTTTCTTTTTAACTATTTGAGATCAAATATAGGTCACTGAAGGATTTTTATGGCAACAAATTATAGAAAGAAAGAATGCATGTTGGAGTAGGAAAGGGAAATTAAAGTTAGAAAAGGCGTTAGTGTATGGAATTTACCCACTTTTGAGAGAGGATTTAGATGGAAATATATTAAAATGTTTATACCTAAAGAGATAAATGTTCTTATGATAAATCTTATGATACCGATATTCCATTACATAAAACTTGAAAAAGAATTTCCTTTGCGATTGATGATGCATACTGATTTTAGGAACATTCTGATTTCTATCAATTCAGAAGATGAGTGGGCAACAGTCATATAGCAAAAGGATTCTCTATTTTCTTACTTTTAAATGGATAGAGATCTGCTGAATTTAACATAGATTCTTTTATATAAGTTTGTCAGAACAAGTATGTTTCTTGTGAATTCTTTTGAATTCACTATTTATTATGGAATAAAAATAATATTATGAAAAAGCAAGCAACAAATTCAGAAGTTAACTAGTACTGTTTTAATTTTATGGAAGTAAATTCTAAAAGTATTTGTGTAAACTTTATTATCTTGATTATACTTAAAAACTAGGTGAAAATTCTTTTGTGGAATGGGAGCTTCATTTTGGTGGTTTAGACATTTCTAGCCTTGTTACATAAACTAACAAAGGCCAGGTAAATAAATAGAGAGATAAATTTAACAACAGGATTCTTAGATAAACAATGACATGGACGAGGAGCCAATATTTCAGGAAGGTAGTCGCTGAGTTCAACATGATGGGAATGCTGGGAATGTGTTGTTTTTCACAGCTTATCATCTAGCTTCATTATAGACCTGATGGCTCGTCAGCTGGAATAATTTTCATCTCCCCTCTCACCCCCATGCAGCTTGTGGTTAATCCACTTTAGTTCAGGGCACTTCTTTCTCTGATCCAAGCCTTTAAGCCCTGTATCCCACCCCCACCCCCTTCATGCTTTATCATATGTTCATCCATGCTCTGATGTCAGCTCCTTTCAGATCACTAAAATAAATAAATAAATAAATAAAATATACTAATTCCAATAACCCATTTTGGCTTCCCACTGCCGTAGTATAAGTTGGGGAGAATATTTCCTGACCTCCTCACAAAATTGTAAAGTTCAAAGGTGCTCTTGTGGATGAAAGGGCTTTTTTTGTATATGTTTACATGTGGCTAAGGAGGTTGGGCTCCAGCTCCAAGGATCTGGCTCAAATATAGCTTCTCGCATTTTTCTAGCTGTATGAACTTCAACAAACTGTAACTTTTGTGCTTTTGGTTTCCTAATGTGGAAAACAGAGATCATAAAAGCACCTAAATCCTGAGTGATGGTTGTTTCATGATGGTTACATGAGACAATTCTTGCATATTATAAGGTCAGAACACACTTAGAACAGTCCCCATTGCTAGCACAGTATCATTGAGGTTAGCCAATTCCTCACAGCCTCATGTCTCTCCAGCCTCTGGGACATGTTCTCATTTGGGCACTTCGGAAAGCTAGGCTCTATTCCTCAGGTGTGGTCTGTGACAGCTAAGGATGGGAGTGGGGTGAAAGAGTCCTGGCTGAGGAATGGCAGGTACTTTAAAAAATAAATGTTTTTATTGATTTTAGAGAGAGAGGAAGGGAATGGGGGGGGGAGATGGGGAGAGAGAGAGAGAGAGAGAGAGAGAGAGAGAGAGAGAGAGAGAGAGAGAGAGAGAGAGAGAGAGACATAGATGGGAATTAATCGGCTGATTTCTGCATGCCCCCTACTGGGGGATCGAGCCTAAAACCCCAGCATGTGTCCTGATCGAAGTCAAACTGATGACCTCTCGTTGCATAGGTTTATGTCAACCATTGAGCCACACCTGTACTTTTAACAGTTGCCTCTATAGTATTGTGTGTGCTCGTCATAGCTTCCTCTGGTGATGACTTTATTTTGGATAAATTATGTTGATATTTCAGTTTGCTACCTATTTGTATTTAAAGTCACAAAAATATGTCCTTTATACTGTAGAAATCAAGGATAGTAAGAATATCTACCCCTGGGCTTACAATGAGCTAAATCAAGTGAACCTCTTCCAGAGGATCCAGGAAAGCACAATATTCTATGGATGCTTTTGAAAAAGAAATTGGAGGAAAGGAATTTGTAATACAAATATCATTTTATACACATGAAATGAGTTGGAAACAAACAAACAAACAAACAAACAAAAAAAAAACACAAACAAAAACCACATACAGATAACAAAAACCTAGCATTCCAAAAGGAGAAAATGTTCTTCCAAATGAACACTCTTCTTCAAAGTAGTTCCTTCTGAGTTTATGTCCACAATACAATGCTGTTGTTGCCTAAAAGGTGTTGAAATTTCTTCTTTGACAAGACTTTTAAGGATCTTGGTGCAAATATTGACATTTTATGATACTTGTGCAAATATCTACTTTTCAACTTATTCAATATTGTTTATAATTTTTGGCATACAGTTGCTTATGCAGATTTACCTGTGTGATTTCTTTCTTTCCCAAGAATCACTTAAATATTTACTAGAGGCCTGGTATACAAAATTCATGCACAGGTTGGGGGTTGTCCCTCAGCCCAGCCTGCACCCTCTCCAATCTGAGACCCCTCGAGGGATGTCTGTAAGCCCGATCCCACTGAGATAAACGGGAAGTCAGACATCCCTCTCACAATCCAGGATTGCTGGCTCCCAACTGCTCACCTGCCTGCCTCTCTGATTGCCCTAACTGCTTCTGCCTGCCAGCCTGATCACCCCTAACCACTTCCCTGCCAGCCTGTTTGCCCCTAAATGCCCTCCCCTGCAGGCCTGGTCATCCCTAACTGCTCTCCCCTGCAGGCTTGATCACCCCCAACTGCCCTCCCTTGCAGGCCTGGTCCCTCCCAACTGCCCTCTCCTGCTGACCATCTTGTGTGTTGGAGTGATGGTCAATCTGTGTGTCTCTCTTTTATTAGATAGGATAGAGGCCTGGTGCCTGGGTGGGGGCCAGCTGGTTTACCCTGAAGAGTGTCCTGGATCAGGGTGGGGGTTCCCTTGGGACATGGGGCGGCCTGGGCGAGGGGCCTGTGGTAGTTTGCAGGCCAGCCACGCCCCCTGGCAACCCAAGCGGAGGCCTGAAATCTGGGATTTGTCTTTTACAATTGAAACTTTGTAGTCTTAAGTGGAGGCCTGGGCATGCCAGAGCTGCAGAAGCTTGGCTTCCTCCATTGCCAGGGAAACCCAAGCCTCCCTCCTGCTCTCTCCATGGCCACAGCCATCTTGATTGGGTTAATATGCTTACTTGCTCCTGGTTGTCTTATGGGCATGGCTTGTGGGTGTTACAGAGTGATGGTTAATTTGCATATTACTCTTTTATTAGATAGGAGGACATTTCCTTTTAGTTCTTTCACAGTATCATGAACATCTGATTTGTGTGTTTTTGTTTTTTTTTCTGTCCCAAATGATTGCCTGGTTTTCCTAGTACTAGTTATTGAATAATCCATGTCCTCTTTATTGGTGATGTTTCTTCATTTATTGGTATGTTGAATTTTCTTTCACTGCTGTCTATTCTGAAATATTAATCTATATTTTTTTTCAGAAATTCAAAATAATTGTAATTATGGTGGGTTTATAATATATATTAATATGAGGTACAGTGAATCTCCTGTTATCACTCTTCTGTTACAAAGCTTTTCTGGCTACTCTCTCCTGTTTTTTCCTCCAAACGGAAATTAATTTTTTCAACGTAAAAAAATATCCCATTAGAATTTTGGTTAAAAACACAAATAAAAGATGTATCTCAGAGCATGACAGATTTTTCAATTTATTAAAATCTTTTTGGCTTTTCCCCACCTGCCAGTAAGGTGCTTGGTCCTTTCAAGGAAGCTAAGGTCAAACTGGGGTCAGGCTCCCACTTCATCCAGCACAGCGGCAGTGCTCACTCAGCCCATACCACTGCCTCCATCTCGAAGCTTGCCTGTATCTACTTGGCCCTTATCCATGAAGTGCTGGTGACGGAGAATAAGATGAATGCCCTCGTTAAAGTGATGGGTGTAAATGCTGAACCTTTCTGGCCAGGCTTGTTTGCAAAAGGTTTGGCCAATGTCAACATTAGGAGCCTCATCTGCAATGTAAGGCTGGTGGACCTGCCCCAGAAGCTAGTGCTGTTTCAGCAGGAAGTCCTGTCCCCTCCACCACTTGCTGAAGAGTTTGATGATGACATGGGTTTTGATCTTTTTTACTAAACTTTTTTTGTAACACATTCAATAAAAAGCTGAATTCTGTTAAAAAATATTTTTGTTCTGTTTTATTTCTTTTATTTTTTTTGTATAGATTCCTTCCAGTTCTTGCCAATATTATTGATATGTGAATAGATTTTAACATGTATTATTTCCCCAGTTATTATTGGGTCACTGAAAAAGTTATTGATTTTTAAAATAGTTTTATAATTGCTTTCCAATCAGTCTCTTTAGGCAAAAGTATGATCTGCAAATAAAGACAGCTTTGCCCTGACCTGTTTGGCTCAATGGATAGAGCTTGGCCTGTGGACTGAAGGGTTCTGGGTTTGATTCTCATCAGGGGCACATGCTGGGTTTGGGGACTCAATCCTCAGTAGAGGATGTGCAGGAGGCAGCCAATCAATGATTCTCTCTCATCATTGATGTTTCTATCTCTCCCTCCCTCTTTCTTGTTCTCTGAAATCAATAAAAATACATATTTTTAAAAGTCAGGTTTTTTTTGGCTTTTCAATATTTTAGCTATTATTCTGTTTCTTATCTTATTACAGAATTATTTCAGCACAATTTTAAAGATAGCAGGCAAACTATGACAAAAAAAAAATAAGAGAGAGAATAGCAGGCATCTTTATACCCGATTTTAATAATTCCTCCACTGCCATATCATTAAGTATGGAAATTTAAAAACATAGCTCAAAATAGATTGAATAGAAAGGTGAACCCATCACCTACTTCAACAATTACCAATTTTTTTTTGCACATACTGTACTTTTCATGGGATAATAAATTAATTTATCCTTTCGTATGCTAATTTGAAAATACCTATCAAAAAATAGATACAGCAATTCTATTGCTAGGCATTAATCCTACAAGTACACCAGCACTTCTAGGCAAAGATATTCAAGAATGCTCTGTATAATTGTATATAATTTCAAAAAACTAGAAAATAGCCCCTGATAGATGAGTAGAAAATGGTGCATTCATATAATAGAACTCAGCTGTTATGAAAAATTTGGTAGATTTATGTGCTGCTGTGCAAAGATGTCAAAGTTACTTATACAATGGAAAAGGCAAGTATAGAACAATATGTATAATATGATTCTATTTGTTTTTGTTTTTTTCCAAAGGAGATAGTCACATGCTTTTATGTGCACAGAAAAAATCTGGAAGGATATGTAAGAAATAATAAAGGTTATCTCAGAGGAAGAATGAAGAGTGGTTATGGGAGATTGAAGAATTACTTCCTTACAGTTTGGCTGTCTTATTATTATTATTATTATTATTATCATTATTATTATGTGCATATAAGTTCTTTGATTAATCTCTTCCCACCCCCACCCCCAAACGTCCTTCCCTATGAGATTCACCAGTCTATTCCATGTTTTCAAACCTCTGGTCCTATTTTCTTCATAAATTTTATTGTGTTTATTAGATTCCACATATAAATGAGATCATGTGATATTTGTCTTTCTCTGGCTGGCTTATTTCGATAGCAGAATTGTGGGGAAGCATGGGACTTGGTTGGAATGTCTGTAAGGAGGATTCTCCGAAAGGTCTGGGGACTCTGAGGGAACCTTGTCAAAGGCGGCAGCCCCTTGCCTTGATTTTTCTAAACTAATTGATCCCCTGGGTGTTTTCCTAGAATCTTTGTTTAGATTTCAAAATGTCCTTGTAGAAGCATATACTTTCTCAAGGATGCTTAGCCTACTGATTGTATCTAGAGGTTCATTTTAATTCAAGCTGTTGGGACAATAAAAGCCTAAGAAGGCAGGTGAACGAAACTGCTTTTTACTTCTAAAGTAACAGAGTTGCTTAGCCCTCTCAAGAAACGTGTGTCAGAGCAATCTGTTCATCATCACTCAGGGTCTGCCGGTCAGCCCTGGCACAGAATTATCTCCAGGGTTCCTCATGCTGTCTCAAAGGCTAGTAGAACCTTCTTTTTTACACCTACATAGAATTCCATGGTGTAAATGAACCACAGCTTTTTTATCCACTGGTCTACTCATGGGCAGTTGGGCTGGTTCCAGATCTTAGCTATTGTATTGTAAATTGTGCTGCTATGAACATAGGGGTGCATGTTTTTTTCTTATAGGTGTCTCGGAATTCTTAGGATATATTCCTAGAAGTGGAATCACTGGGTCAAATGGGAGTTCCATTTTTGTTTGAGGAAACTCCATGCTGTTCTCCACAGTGGCTGCACCAGTCTGCATTCTCACCAGCAGTGCATGAGGGTTCCCTTTTCTCCACATCCTTGATAGCACTTGTCATTTTGATAGCCATTGTCCTTTTAATTAGAAGTTCTCTGATGTTTAGTGACTTTAAGCATTTTTTCCTATGTCTGTTGGACATTTGTATGTCTTCTTTGGAGAAGTATCTATTTGGGTCCTCGGCCCATTTTTTAAATTGGATTGCTTGCCTTCCTTTTGTTGAGTGGTATGAATATTTCATATATTCTGGGAATTAACCCCTTATCAGATGTATCACTAACAAAAATGTCCTCCCAAACTGTAGGTTCCATTTGCATTTTGATGCTGGTTTCTTTTTGCTGTGAAGAAGCTTTTTAGTTTTATGTAGTCACATTATTTTTTTCCTGTGTTTCTCTTGCCCCTAGATGATGCATCTGTGAAAATTCTGCTACATGAGATGTCTGATATTTTGCTGTTTACATTTTCTTCTAGTATTTTTATGGTTTCACAGCTTACATTTAAGTCTTTTATCCATTTTTAGTTTATTCTTGTGTATGGTGTAAGATGGTGGTCTAGTTTGTTTTTGTTTTTGTTTTTTTGTTTGTTTTTTGGGTACCTGCTCAATTTTCCCAACACCATTTATTGAAAAGACTACCTTGATTCCATTGTATGTACTTGCTGCCTTTGTTAAACATTGAGTATAATGGCTTGGGTCAATTTCTGGGTTCTCTATTCTGTTCCATTGATCTATATGTCTGTTCTTATGTCAGTACCAGGCTGTTTTGAGAACAGTGGCTTTATATTATATCTTGATATCTATGTTGTCATCTCTTCTACTTTTACTTTCTCAAGACTGCTGAAGCTATTTGGGGTCTTTCTTGGTTTCATATAAATTTTTGGAGTATTTGTTTTAGATGTGTGAAAAATGCTGTTGGCATTTTAATAGCGATTGCATTGAATCTATAGATTGCATTGAGTAGCATGGACGTTTTAATTATGTTAATTCTATCAACCCATGAGCACGGTATATTCTTCCACTTGTTTATATCTTCCTCTTTTTTTTCAATACTCTGTAGTTTTCCAAGTACAGGTCTTTTACCTCTTTGGTTAAGTTTATTCCTAAGTATCTTAATTATTTTTTTGTTGCAATAGTAAATAGGATTCTTTTTTCCTTTTAATTTCTCTGAGAGCTCATTATCAGTGTGTAAAAATGCCACTGACTTCTAGGAGCATTATTATTTTTATAATCTTACTAAAATATATGATGTTGGACATTGACTTAATATTTACTACGTGTTGTAAATTTAGTTGTTTTAATCAGAGGGCGGTATTAGATTTTTGTCATCTATTGAGATGGCATTTTTTTTTCTTATATGGACTAAATGTATGATTTATTTCAATTATTTTAGTATAAAAAATATCCTGGCATTTCTTGGATAAAATTTTACCTAATCATGTTAATTGAATTTAACTTACTGGTAATTTTATGGGGATTTCTGGCATTGATTTTTTTTATGTGGGTTGATGTTTCTGGAGTGTTATTTTGGTACCATTTTGATAGATTTTACAATAATTATATTTGCTTCATAAAATTAAATTTTAATATATTTATGCATTCAGAAAGGGATTATGTGTCCTTCAAATTTTTCAAGAGCTTGCCCATATAATCTCTAGGGCTGAGATTTTCTTCTTCTTTGGGTTAGATCTACTTAGTGTTTTTGTTTTGTTTTTACTTCTGCTTGATTCAGTTTGGATGATTTATGTTCCCCCCGCCCCCCCAAAAAAGAAAAATTTGTAGCATATTGTTAACTATGCATAGTATTTTCTAATAATAATAATAATAATAATAATAACCCAGACTTCTCCATATCTGGTATGCCTTTCTCCTTTATAATTTTATTTTAAAATATTTTTATTGATTTTAGAGAGGAAGAGGGAGAGAAAGATAGAAACATCAATGATGAGAATCATTGATTGGCTGCCTCCAGCACACCCCACACTGGGGTTTGAGCCTCCAACCGGCATGTGCCCTGACCAGGAATTCGACTGTGACCTCCTCGTTCATAGGTCAATGCTCAACCACTGATCCACGCCAGCTGGGCTCCTTTATAATTTTATTTATATTTTCTTTCTCTTATCAAATAGATTTGCCAGGTATTTCTCTACTTTCTTCCAAAAAGTATTTTTGTAATTGCTCAATAATTGTATTTTTTTGTTTTCTACTTTGTTGATATCTACTTCAATCTTTCCCTAATTCTTTTTTTACCGTTCAATTTTTTAAAAATACTACTTATATTTTTATTCTTTGGTGTTTAATTTCCTCCTGCTAAACAATGGTACTAAACTTGGTCTGATTTCAAATGACTTTTAGGAATTTCTAAAAATGAAATCTACTCTCAGAGAGAAGATTTTCTGTCACTGATGATCTCCATTTAAAAGAATGTGACTCAGTCTCTCGTAGCACATTTCTAAAGAATTCTAAAAATGTTTGAGTAATGGCAGTATAATTGGTAAGCTTATAACCTATCCTGGAAGGTCAACACCTATTTGTATAGTATATAAAATCTGTATGTTTGCTAGAACATTATCTGCCTTAATATACTTATAAAGAATCAAAGGCCAGGATTTAAAGAGAAGCTCTTATGTTTGCTTAATGGGATGTCCCCAGATACTACATATTTGTAACCCAAGATATTATAAAATGTTTTTTCTTCTTTTTTTGTGTAAAGGTATTTAAATACATTGTGTGTACAGCCTAGCTTCATAATTAAAATTAACCTCAGATAAAACATTTTTAAATGCAAAGGTTAAATATTGTTTATA